TTGTATCCTGTTGGATAAACAGATTAGGGCATCAGAGTTTTCCAATCTCTGACCCTCCTTGACCTGTAGGGGTAAAAGAAAGTTACTTGTCCCCTGTGGAATGGTTATGTCATCAGGAACTTGGATACTTACCGCATATGGGAGTATTTGTCCTGATTTCAGGGCGTTTTCCTCGTGTAGGTATCCACAAGGATTACCTTTTAACCTTGTCCACAAATTGGAATTAATCAGGTCAAGGTGTATGGCAAAGCGATGTATGACATCATTGCCAACGTAAACCTGATAGTGAGGTTCGTCTATCACTAGGAATAAATGTTTAACTGTCTTATTTCCGATGGAAATAGATAGTAAACATTTTGCTATCACATTGTGACTCTCTGATTCGCCATCCAGATTCTGGATCCACCTGTCATGTGGGGAAGCATACCTGATCATTTTAGGATTAGCGATCTGCTTTAACAGACTTCTGCTAATATGGCTGTTCTCACTCTGTAAGTCCAGCTTTGCATTCCTACTTCTTCCTAAGTCATGTATTTGAATAGGAAAGAATAAGTTGTTATTAACCCTTTCAATTCTGGCAAGGAATTGAGCATGACCTGCCAGATCTACAGATTCGACATAGTCCCTGTGGAGAGAAATGGTTAAAACATCACCTTCCAGAGAGACATTCTGGATCCTCTCTGGAGCAATTCTTATGGAATGCTCATCTACAGGTGCGATTGCATCATTCACCTGCAGGATAGTCACGTCAGGTGACTGACTATTTCTAAAATGTACCTCAATTGAGTCAGGTCTTTCTTCTATCATATGGCAGTTACGATCAGATTGAACATGTGATTTCTCATAGGTTATGGGAACCTTAGCTTGTGACCATACAATTCCATTTACACAGTCAATAATTGTGTTAAGTCTTCTGAGTATGTCTATACCCAGAATCAGTCGGTCATAGGGGAGATCTACCACTATCACCGGGTGTCTAAAGGTTTTGTTACCTATTTTAAACTTTAACCAGGTATTGCCAATAACATGAAGGGCATTTCCTCCTACACTCAACAGAGCATTGGGGAAACCTCTTAGCTTCGGCTTATCCGTTGCTAAGTCCATTACCTGCTGGAAGTAGGTATTGGATAAGATAGTGGCTTGTGAACCAGTATCTATTAACCCTTTAAAAGGCTGGGGTAGCGAATCCTGTATTTCTACAGACATGTAATACCTTCCTTCATGTTCTTCTAATTCACATAAGAATTTAGAATGTGTCAACATATTACTTGTTTTCCATACATTACCGGTCACAGCAGTAGTTTCTACCTGTACTGAGGAATGCTCAGTCTTACCCGCAGGCCCATCCCTTTCAGGAATATCTTGAACTGTCAAGCGGGAACTAGTGGTCGGCATCTCATCAGTTAACCCTTTCAGGTCTGGATCCTGGAAACTAGTGACTGCTGGGGCTACTTTAGCCTTTGGCTGAAATGAAAAAACAGAGGAACACGTTGCGCCTCCTTCACCCGGAAGTGAAGTGACGGGATAGGCAATAGGTTTCCTAACACAACTATTGTTTGTTTGACTGTTAGTACTTGGAAAGGAAACAGGGTTAGGTATTACATCTACTGATAACCTAGCCTGTTTAGTCACAGTGGCTATTATTGTTGCAGCACCTGTTGTTGTTGCTGCGGTTGCACAGGTAGTTCTGCAATTGGAGCTATCCCTAAAAAAGGATTTAGAGCAAAGACTTGGTTGATCTTTGTCATTTCCTCCATTAATTTGCCCATCTGGTCTGTCAATTGACCAACCTGACAACGTAAATTATTTCCCCCATTGCCGTTTTGTCCTTGCCCATTAGAATTTGGTTGGGATGGCTGAGACTGATGGGAGTTATTGGAAGCAGATTGGTTGTTTCTGTTTCCATATCTCCTATTTCCCTGAGGATTCCTTCTCCATTGGGAATTGCCTTGGTTCTTATTAACCCAGGGGCGTTTATTCCCATTGGCATTGGATTTTTCAGAGTTATTAGAGGAGTTTGCAGAATTGCTTCCTGCGTTTTCCTGTTTCTGAGGTTTTGGTGTTTTCAGAACCTCGGAATAAGTCCTCTTTTTCTGTTGGGTTTCTAAACCTAACTGAATTTTAGTCTCTGACACCATTTTATCACCAGGTTTCTTAACCTTTGGCTGATTTTCATCATGTGCATGGTGTATAGTGTACAACTTCATGCATTGACTGACTAGCCATTCTAATGGTAACTTACAATCGTAATCTCTTGCGAGATTCATTTGTATGTTTACTGGCATGGCATGAAAATACAGATCTTTAAAGTCTGTGCTTTCATACCTGGGTTTTCTTTGGGCCACGGAGTATGCATTTTTAAGAATTATTAAAAATTCTCTGGGCTTTGATCTGGACGGCACTTTAAGTTATAAAGCGCCCTCCTTGCAGAGGCAATAGTTTTATACTTACCATATTCCATGATTATTTCATATTTCATCTTGGACCAGGACATTAACTGTATAGCTTGAAGACTTTCTAGATAAACACGGCACATTGAATCAAAGGTCCATGTAATGAACCACTTCTTATGAATGTCATCATACATGCCCAATGAATTCATTGCTCTATCATAATTTTCCAGATGTTCAGATATGTTTCCTGAACCTCTAGAAAATTGTGGGACAGTCTCTCTAAGGAATTTGATGACCTTTGGTGTTTCATAAACAGGCGCCGTTGATTTACGATCTCTGTTTCTGTGTTTGGGTAAACGTCTATGCGATCTGTCTGCTGAAGAGGAATTAGACCCATACAACAGCGCAGATGGCATATCAGTTACATGGCCTTCAGAGTGGACAGTGCAATCACTTTCACTCCCATCACTCTGAGCTTCTTGTTCACTGTCACAATTCTGATCAGCATCAGAATTCTGCCAGTGTACAGAACCATGTCTGTTTTCATTCCTATCACCTTGAATTGGACTCTCCTTCTCAAGTTTGGCCAAGACAGCTTTTTCAAACTGTTCTGCCCAAGATTGCCAAGGTGGCTTGGTAATGTCATGAGATGGGGAATCTTGTTCCACAGGTGATTTTTTAGAATTACTCACACCTTTACTTACAGACTGTTTTATGAAAACCTGGTTTGGTGTGGGAAAATCATAATAAGGAGGGGATTTACAGATAGTCTTTTCTTGCATTCTTGTGCAACTTTTTGGCACAGAATGATGACTACCAACCTCACTGTCTAATTTCTGACTCTCCTTTTCATACTCATCCAATTGCATTTTAAGCTGATTTATTTCCTGTGCATATTTATCCATCAAAGCTTTCATTTCTTTTTCATGATCAGCCTGACGAGTTTTATGCTCAGTAAGTAAATCTTGGTATTTCCCATTTTGAATGCCCAAATCGTCACTGTACGTGTCCAATTTGGCATTCAGTGACTTGTTTTCATCACACACCTTAATAAGTGCTGTCATAAAGAAAGGCCAAGAGTGTATTATGTACGCCATTTTCCTTTCTATGTTCTTTTGTTCAGCAATTTCTTTAAGATATATGATGATGTGTTCATCAGTTAGAATGGTTTGTTTAGTTTCCCATTCTATGCTTTTCAACCAAACCTCATAGGTTGCATCATTTTTCATATGTTTATGAATATGAACTAGAGCATGTTTTCTTAGGTCTTCAATTATTTCAGTATTATCTGTTACAGATTTATCACTGCCACTGGCCATTTTTATTTTTATTTTATTAATTAATCTCAATACAAAACTCTTTTCTATA